CAGAGAGGACTGACAGACAGACGGCCCAGAGAGGACTGACAGACAGACGGCCCAGAGAGGACTGACAGACAGACGGCCCAGAGAGGACTGACAGACAGACGGCCCAGAGAGGACTGACAGACAGACGGCCCAGAGAGGACTGACAGACAGACGGCCCAGAGAGGACTGACAGACAGACGGCCCAGAGAGGACTGACAGACAGACGGCCCAGAGAGGACTGACAGACAGACGGCCCAGAGAGGACTGACAGACAGACGGCCCAGAGAGGACTGACAGACAGACGGCCCAGAGAGGACTGACAGACAGACGGCCCAGAGAGGACTGACAGACAGACGGCCCAGAGAGGACTGACAGACAGACGGCCCAGAGAGGACTGACAGACAGACGGCCCAGAGAGGACTGACAGACAGACGGCCCAGAGAGGACTGACAGACAGACGGCCCAGAGAGGACTGACAGACAGACGGCCCAGAGAGGACTGACAGACAGACGGCCCAGAGAGGACTGACAGACAGACGGCCCAGAGAGGACTGACAGACAGACGGCCCAGAGAGGACTGACAGACAGACGGCCCAGAGAGGACTGACAGACAGACGGCCCAGAGAGGACTGACAGACAGACGGCCCAGAGAGGACTGACAGACAGACGGCCCAGAGAGGACTGACAGACAGACGGCCCAGAGAGGACTGACAGACAGACGGCCCAGAGAGGACTGACAGACAGACGGCCCAGAGAGGACTGACAGACAGACGGCCCAGAGAGGACTGACAGACAGACGGCCCAGAGAGGACTGACAGACAGACGGCCCAGAGAGGACTGACAGACAGACGGCCCAGAGAGGACTGACAGACAGACGGCCCAGAGAGGACTGACAGACAGACGGCCCAGAGAGGACTGACAGACAGACGGCCCAGAGAGGACTGACAGACAGACGGCCCAGAGAGGACTGACAGACAGACGGCCCAGAGAGGACTGACAGACAGACGGCCCAGAGAGGACTGACAGACAGACGGCCCAGAGAGGACTGACAGACAGACGGCCCAGAGAGGACTGACAGACAGACGGCCCAGAGAGGACTGACAGACAGACGGCCCAGAGAGGACTGACAGACAGACGGCCCAGAGAGGACTGACAGACAGACGGCCCAGAGAGGACTGACAGACAGACGGCCCAGAGAGGACTGACAGACAGACGGCCCAGAGAGGACTGACAGACAGACGGCCCAGAGAGGACTGACAGACAGACGGCCCAGAGAGGACTGACAGACAGACGGCCCAGAGAGGACTGACAGACAGACGGCCCAGAGAGGACTGACAGACAGACGGCCCAGAGAGGACTGACAGACAGACGGCCCAGAGAGGACTGACAGACAGACGGCCCAGAGAGGACTGACAGACAGACGGCCCAGAGAGGACTGACAGACAGACGGCCCAGAGAGGACTGACAGACAGACGGCCCAGAGAGGACTGACAGACAGACGGCCCAGAGAGGACTGACAGACAGACGGCCCAGAGAGGACTGACAGACAGACGGCCCAGAGAGGACTGACAGACAGACGGCCCAGAGAGGACTGACAGACAGACGGCCCAGAGAGGACTGACAGACAGACGGCCCAGAGAGGACTGACAGACAGACGGCCCAGAGAGGACTGACAGACAGACGGCCCAGAGAGGACTGACAGACAGACGGCCCAGAGAGGACTGACAGACAGACGGCCCAGAGAGGACTGACAGACAGACGGCCCAGAGAGGACTGACAGACAGACGGCCCAGAGAGGACTGACAGACAGACGGCCCAGAGAGGACTGACAGACAGACGGCCCAGAGAGGACTGACAGACAGACGGCCCAGAGAGGACTGACAGACAGACGGCCCAGAGAGGACTGACAGACAGACGGCCCAGAGAGGACTGACAGACAGACGGCCCAGAGAGGACTGACAGACAGACGGCCCAGAGAGGACTGACAGACAGACGGCCCAGAGAGGACTGACAGACAGACGGCCCAGAGAGGACTGACAGACAGACGGCCCAGAGAGGACTGACAGACAGACGGCCCAGAGAGGACTGACAGACAGACGGCCCAGAGAGGACTGACAGACAGACGGCCCAGAGAGGACTGACAGACAGACGGCCCAGAGAGGACTGACAGACAGACGGCCCAGAGAGGACTGACAGACAGACGGCCCAGAGAGGACTGACAGACAGACGGCCCAGAGAGGACTGACAGACAGACGGCCCAGAGAGGACTGACAGACAGACGGCCCAGAGAGGACTGACAGACAGACGGCCCAGAGAGGACTGACAGACAGACGGCCCAGAGAGGACTGACAGACAGACGGCCCAGAGAGGACTGACAGACAGACGGCCCAGAGAGGACTGACAGACAGACGGCCCAGAGAGGACTGACAGACAGACGGCCCAGAGAGGACTGACAGACAGACGGCCCAGAGAGGACTGACAGACAGACGGCCCAGAGAGGACTGACAGACAGACGGCCCAGAGAGGACTGACAGACAGACGGCCCAGAGAGGACTGACAGACAGACGGCCCAGAGAGGACTGACAGACAGACGGCCCAGAGAGGACTGACAGACAGACGGCCCAGAGAGGACTGACAGACAGACGGCCCAGAGAGGACTGACAGACAGACGGCCCAGAGAGGACTGACAGACAGACGGCCCAGAGAGGACTGACAGACAGACGGCCCAGAGAGGACTGACAGACAGACGGCCCAGAGAGGACTGACAGACAGACGGCCCAGAGAGGACTGACAGACAGACGGCCCAGAGAGGACTGACAGCCAGAGATGCGCCCACAGGAGGGAGGGAGGCCGTCCTGTAGCTCGTGGAGCTGCCAGAGCTGCTGTGCGAAGCCTGGTTGGTCTGACCTGGAGCAGTGAGGCTCCCACCTGTGGATCACGCCATGTGCTGTTGATGGAGGGTTTCCTGGCGGAAGGGGCTAGGAACCTTCTGGAATTCTCACAGATGGCTGTGGATGGCTGGATTCATGTTCTCATGCAGTGTCCGCATTTGTGAGCGCATGTTTGACATTTATCAGGTCAGCGATCG